ATGTTGGTCTTAAATTTAATTTCAAGTGGCATTAAAAAGTTATGTAATTTATTAATCATAACTCAGGTTTTACTTGGTCTGTCTACACAATGTAAAAATTGATGTTTAGCTTGACATCTGTATTTTGACACAGTTTGGAACAGATATTTATGGAGAGCAAATGTTTCCCACTACAGTGATTTAAATGAGTCATGTGACGAGGATAGGAGGCATCCAGGGACTCCAGGGGATYAATCGTAATATTAATCGTTACTGGCTAAATACCACAGTTAATTGTGATTAATTTTTTGCCAATATCGCCCAACCCTAACTTGGAGTCTCTAGGAGTGCAGAAAATTTTAATTTAGTTTCTGAAGCGCCTTGTTTGGATTTAAAGAGACAGCCTCAAAACGAGTTATTCTGAGACACTCCTCAGAACGGGGGTGAAAGAGGAGCTTGTGGAGTTACAATAAGGAGGAATTGAGACCAAAGCATTGCAGTTTCTCTTTTAATATAGACTCAAATATATATTTTTTATTTCACATTGCTTAAGTCGTCTTTCTCTCGCTCTGTTTTCAGGTGACTTGTCAAAGTTCGGTCGAGGTGACGCGTCATCCCCGGCTCCGGCCACCACATTAGCTCAGACTCAACAGAATCAGACCCAGACCCACCACACCACACAGCAGCCCTTCCTCAACCCCGCGCTGCCGCCTGGCTACAGCTACACAAGCCTTCCTTATTACACTGGCATGCCAGGCCTGCCCAACACCTTCCAGTACGGACCTGCTGTGTTTCCGGTGAGAAACTCCATGAAGCTTCTGCCTGGAGATGAGGCAAAGTAGCTAAACTAGAACACAAGTTAAAAATAATAAATAGTTGAGTATGTTTCAGCCTAACTGTTGTTGGATAATCCTGATGTTTTTAACTGCAGCGATTAGTTTTGTCTTTTTGAGTTTTAAAACTCTGTTTGAGTTACCTCCTCCTCCTCGTGTTCTGCAGGTGGCTCCTACCTCTTCGAAACAGCACGGTGTGAATGTTGGCGTCAACGCATCAGCCACGCCCTTCCAGCAGGCCAGTGGTTACAGTTCCCACGGATACGGCACTGGTGAGTGGGTCGAGATGGTTGAAACRTCATGTTTGGAGGGTCAGGCAGTTCCTTTTTTATTTACTTGCCCAAAAACAACGACAGAATGAAAATATCTTGATGTTCAGAGTGCGTTTGAATAAAAAGCTGCGGTGTAAACGTGGTGTTTGTGTATTAGTGTTTTTTTTCTCATTTTAATGTTTCGTGTCTTGAAACATGCTTGTCTTCCACTCTTTGCTTAAACGTTTTTAAAGTTAGTGAGKTATGTTTTTGTTGAAAGAAAACTACCTGTGGTTTCCTTTAAATTCATTTTCAGAGTAAAGGGATTAGATTATTGGTTTCCTGCTAGTTTCCGTGGCTTGCTTTGCTTAATTTGGAAAGTGGAGATTTTTTTCATTGACTTTGCTGTTGACRTCACAAAATAAACTATCACCTTCCCATATTTACTACAAATTCAACTCATTTCTGCTGATCTATTCTCAAGGTTATTTTTTTAAATCTGTTTCATGGATTTAAATTAAATTTTTAAGAATTTCTGTTTGTTTTATTTTAAATCATTTCCCTCTCTTTGTCACTGAATATCCACCACATGTGTTCTAAGCTGCACCATCTGCTGCTTTCTGCCATTACCCAACTCACACTCACTCTCCACCCCCTCCCACACACCCCCTGCCTGCCCCCTCGGTCCCCTCACCTCCTTCCCTCAGACTTGGGTCAAAGAGTATTTGCAAATGATCTCAGTGTTGATTCCGTCCAGCCGGTCGGGTCGGACAGGCGGGTTTTGCCGCGCGGACGTCGCAGCTGGTGTTGAAGTTCAGATAATTGCAGCTGAAAAGGCCTCTGCACCATCTGTGTTGTCTCGCTTCGTTAAAACCTGTGAAGCACGATTAAAAGCGAAGAAGAAGAAGCTTGGGGTTATTTGCAAATGCTACCTGAAGCAGGTCTGCCTCCCCCTGCCTGGTGTGTCTAACGCTGTGGGCTGCGGCTGTGTGTCTGACTGTTGCAGGCTATGAGGATGTGGGCCAGGCTTCAGGGAGTGGGGATTTCTGTAAGGGCGGATACGGCACTGCCGTGGCCGCTGCCGCTTCTGCACAAAACAAGCCAACCAGCTCCGTCACCGGGCCTGGAGTCGGTGAGTGCCGCCACATGCCAAAAAACCGAGCGACAAAATCAAAAAAAAAAAAAAAAAAAAACCAACAACAACCCTGTTCCTTTAAGTCTTCCTCCTCATGTAACCAGCCATCCCTCTCCCCCTCTCCGCTGTCGTGTTTCCGCCTCATTGCTGGTGAGCCTGTGGGACGAACCATCACTTCACGTCTGCTTTTAGACAGTCCAGAGCAGCCCGCCGCTCTCGTTTCCCATTCTTTCTATTTCCCCATTTCTCTCAAGGTAACTCATCATCAGTTCAGGTTGTAAATTAAATCATCTTTAGTTGGATTAATCCAGACAATTGAAAGCTGATTATGAGTTACTTTGGTCGACTCTGTCCTGTTTTCTGTGTGGCTTGCTCTCCATCTGTGTGATTTTTGCTTTTATAATAAGTTTACTTCTCTCTGAGTAACGTAGGATATACCTGGGGGAAAATGGCTGAGGTGATGTGGCTGTTTGCACTCAGTCACACCTGGTTTATTTATGCAGAGAAGTTTGACTCACAGAAGAGTAAACAGCTGTCAAATTATGAGTGTCCTTATTCAGTTCCAGGTAGTGGATCGTGTCACTGAAACATTTTGAGTCCCAGTTTCTGTCAGTTTAATGCCTACGCACAGCAGATTGTGATGATGAAACAGATGTGGATTGTCAGAGCGAACAGGGATCATTGGAAGTTCAAAAAACAAAAGGTTCATGATATCATTGATTAATCTGTGTATGGTTCGTTCTTTGTTTTTTTGTTTGTTTGTAATCTTTTGTGCAACAACACATTTTATCTACTGTTTAAATGTAAAATTTAGGGAAATTATTAAATTCATACCAGTTTTTTTAAAGTGTTTCTTTTTGACATCTTGCATTGTTGTCAAAAACCCAATAGTTGTTTTTACAAAAGACTAAAAAGTATCACATCAGAAAATGGGAACAGGACTACAAAACCACAGTTTTTTTAAGTGTTTGTGTTTAATAACATTTTAAGAAATATATTATTGATCTGTAAAATGTTAATTCTGTTATCTGTACTCTGAGCAGATTTCCATCTTTTAGCAGTTGGCAGCAATGATTTTATTATGAAAAGGCTGCTGATCTAAAGTCTTGGACGTATAAATTTGCTCCTCTGTCTTGTTTTGGTGCGTCAGTCGACTTCGCTGTCTGCAGTGAAACAAGGAATCAGTGTTTTTTGAACAACCAGGACAATAAACACCAAACAAACTGAAACACTCAGTCTGTCTTTAAACCTCCTCTTCTTAACTCATCCATCATCTACTTAACGTCTCTGCTGTCCTCATTAAAGGACAGTTTTGTTGAAGTCATCTATGAACAAATGCATAGATGTCAACACTGAAACTTTCTTAGTTTGTTTTTAACACTCCTGGTAACATCTGAATGTGGTTGGTTTGAGTGCCACGTTCTCTGTTTTTATCAACTTTTAGATCAAAGTTTGTGACGTTTCTCTCGTCTCCGCAGGAGTTTCTGTGACATCAAGCAACACGGGAGTTCCAGATATTTCAGGTTCTGTTTACACAAAGACACAGGTGATTATGGGGTTTTAGAAAATCTTGATTTGCCTTTGCTGAATCGAACGTTGGACAAACAAAGCTGGACTCCTTGTTCCGTTTCTTGTCTCAGTCATTTGAAAAGCAGGGTTTCCACGCTGCGACCCCAGCAGCTTCGTTCAGCCTGCCCTCGGCGCTGGGGAGCGGGGGGCCCATCAACCCTCCGGCTGCAGCTGGCTACGCCCCGGCYCCCTTCATGCACATTCTGGCTCCGCACCAACAGCCCCACTCCCAGATTCTGCACCACCACCTGCAGCAGGACGGACAGGTAGTTRTTTGAGCTCAATATTGTTTTTCTCCTTGTTTCTAAGAGTTCGGATCTTTTTTTCTGAGCCTTGCGACCTCCTCGCTCCATATACACGCAGAGTAGGAAATAAATCAGCGCAGAGAGACTGTAGAACAGATGCAACCATAAAAATCRGATATTTTGAAACTTAAAACCTTAAATAGACTTAGTTGGACGTATTTTCCTGCGACTCACCAGCAGCTTGRGTGACAGCATGTCAGAGCAGCCAAGTTTATATTAAAATCTTTTTTTTAATATCGCACTGATTGTTTCCTGAAAGCACACGTGAGCGCAGTCACACATCAATGGTGTAATAGTGGACCGTGTGACCGGCTTCCTGAAGACGCACGTCTCAGAGGATCGCACCTGGATGACCAGCTGCATAGTCTCACTTCACACATCCTGAAGATCTTTTACCACTAAGAGCATCCTGACCAACTGCATTACAGTCCGGTACTGGAACCGCTCCGTCTCAGACCAGAAGACGACGTACAGGGTGGTAAAAACTCCCCAACGTCTCATTTCCTGCCATTGATGTTATCTACAGGAAGTGCAGTCACTGAAGAGCAGTAAACATTAGAAATGACTCCTGGCCACCCGACTAAGATTGTTTGCACTCGTGCCCTCTGGGTGGCGCCACAGGAGCGTCCAGACCTCAACGACAAGATTCTACAACAGCTCACACACACACACACACACACACACACACACACACGTGTCTCCCTGCTGGAATCTGCCCCATAACGCCCCACTTACTTATTATAATGATGATGATGATGATGATGATGATGCAGTTCTGGTTAGATACAACGTGCTGTTTGCCTTGATCATGTGATGTAAAATGACAATAAAGTTTTATCTTATCTAATCTAAAAAAAGGCAGTTCATAAATCCTGTATGTCTGTAAAACTGTAGAGGTTACAAAGACCCAAGGTCAAGACACTCGCCTCCAAAATGCTTTGATGCATGAATGGTTTAAAGAAGACCTGTTATGGGGTCCTTGAGCAAGTTGGGATTTATCTGTGGGCTGTACAAAACAAGTTCATTTAATTTAATTTAATTCACAAAATGAAACAGCTGGGAGTATTTTTATTTATTTATTTGTTTATTTTGTGCTTGGACTGTTTCTGGAAGCATAAACACATGTTAAAAAAAGTGAATTTTACATAATAGGTCCCCTTTAAAGTGCTGAAAGTTTACTGAAACTGTTGGTTCCCGATGAATGTTTTTGGAGAAACCATAAACAGGAAACGCATCGTGGGAATGCTGAGTCAGCATTCATATGATTACTAATGTTTTCCGTCTTTGCTGTCTCGACAGAGCGGTACCGGACAGCGCAGCCAGAACGCCTCCATTCAGCAGAAATCTCAGATCAACAAGTCGGCGTACAACAGCTACAACTGGGGGGCCAACTAACGTCCGCCGACCGGAGTCCCTCCCACTTCGACAGGCTGAGAAATGGAGTGGGGCTCATCATTCCTCCTGCGAACAGTCCCCTCATAGCAGCTCCCTCCTCCTCCTCCTCCTGCAGAGATTTCCCTCTCCCCAGTCTTTTGGCCCAGCACTCCCACCGCCCAGAGGAGGAGCTGAGCCAAGAGAACGAGCGCCATCGGGGCAGGTGGGAGGGGCTTAGAAATGAGATTGGATCTAAAAGGTTAGAAAAATCCAGAGATGAAATATCGAGTGTTGGGAATTCAAAATTGTGATAATACCACCCCTATCACCCTCCCTTTTTTTTTTACTTACATGTAACATAGAACTGTTTTCTAAAAGAATGAACATTTTTCTTTATTTTATCTTTTTTTTTCTTTACATTTTTCTGGCTGAAGGGAAAGAATGAAGTAATATCTGATCGTGTGAGTGGGAAGGGGGGCAGGGTGGTTTGAGTTTCTCATCTTCACCTGTTCTTGTTAATATTCATAAAAACTCTTTCCTCCTTCACAAAATATCCAAAAACAGAAAACTGCTTTCGAATGTGTTTTTTTTTTTTTTTTTTTTTTTTTAAGTTTGAAGAAACAATTCTCTGAATTGGAAGAGTTGTGAAGTTTATTTTTTACCAGATATAAATATATTATATATAAAGACATATTAAGCGAAGCTCACTGGCTTGGGGACTGTGAGGAAAGTGTGTTTGTCATGTGACTGCGTGCATGTTTGTTCACACGGGGCCGCGGTGGTTTCTGTGCTTTGTTTTTTTTTTCTTCTTCTTTCTTTTTTCTTTGATTGTTTTCAGCACTCAGCGTTTTGTACAGTTATTGTTCCCATGAATTAGAAATGTTGAGTAAGGTCCCTTTTTCTTTTGAAAGAATGATTTCCAAGCCCCCCCCCAACACACACACACACAATCTGCCTTTTAGTGTTTTATTTTGTATTTAAGCCTCCTCCCTGCTTCACCACCTGTCCCCTGACGTAAAGAAATCCGCAGCATTGAGTACCGATGGACAGAATTGTACTATCGTTTTCTTTTTGTCAGTGGTTTATTTTATTATTTTCTTTTTGTACTGTGCGTTTTAAAGATTTAAATGGATATGTACATATATAAAAAAACAAGTACTGTAGTCCCTGTTTGTCAATGGCTTTCTCTTTTTTTTCCTTTTCAAATCCTTGCAGACTTGTTAGCTTTTTTTTGTTTCATTTTTTTATTTTGTAAAAATATATAAATATTAAGTAAATAAGAAAAAGGCATTTTCATCATTTTTGGATGTTAATGTCTTTTAATAAACAGTTTCTTGTGGCTTGTGATTGCAGCAGCATTTCTTGTTCTAAGGGTTTGAATCCTGAAAGTTTGATAAACTGACCTGGTTTTAATGAACAAACAGCATGAAGTTATTTTACATGGTGAATTTTTATTTTACAAATAATTCAGTAATTTAGAATAAGGTCATCAATTGAAGCATGGCCAGACTGGAGGTGAGAAGTGATTTATTTTAACAACAGCAGTCATAACATGAATATGAGCAGCATCCTACTGCAGAGAGACATTTCTAATAACTCCTGAAAATACGCTTCCTGGATTAGTTAATCCTGGGGCAGGTAAAGTGCACAAATAAGGATTATTTGTGTCACTGCTTTTGTTAAACCAGGTCAGTGTTTGCTGGAATCTAACCTGAAACACTTTGAACTTTGTTTTTCATATACACAATTAACACCATAAAACAAGGATTTTATGTAGTAGAAGTGTTGGCTGAAAATCTGATTTTGTGTTCATAAAAATTAACTTTAATTTGAAAATATTAATTTATTTATCAGTGTTTATCCAGGCAAACCCCTTTGAGATCGCAAGAGGCCTGGGCCTGGT